GTGTCATCAATCAGTTGTCAGTTAAGTATCCCCACATGTCCTCTGTGGCAATATCTTATAAACAGAATCATTTTTCTTCGAGTTATCTTTGCTCTAAAGAGAAATAGACTTTCGAAACTAAAAGAAACATTTGCTGTCTATCGTTCTATTCTTTAACACTTTTCGTCTTGTCCCAAGCTTATATTTTTAACTTAACTTTTTTCTTTCCGTTTGCCAGTGTTACATAGTGTCACACTAATGTATCTTGCCCTCTTGACGCATGACGAAGAAAATAAAAATAAACACAGACAGTAACTCTGTTGATTCTAAATTGTATATCGCAGTATGTATATAAGAATCTTTATATTTTATATTACTCGGATCTACTTTATATATACCAACGGATTTGTTAATTTACTATATATATATATATATATATATATATATATATATATATATATATATATATATATGGGTATTTGGGCAGCAATCCTTCTTCCCATTTGTGAACTGCAAGCTGGAGTTTATTCCCAAATTGAAACGGCACCATGGTCTTGTAAGCTGCTGGGTGAGGTAGATTTAGCTTCAGTCCGGGGCCTGCTAGGTTTGGGTACTGTAAATCGAAAGAAAGAAAGACCGAACAATTTCATCACTGCATGAAGTGACGTCACTAAGTGGCCGTCATGTGACCCATGTGACTTATCTCGACCAATGGGTGATAATCGCCTTTTGTATCTCTATATTAGGATTTTCAGGGGCTAATCTTGAGAGGGCATGGAGAACTCGGTACCTCTTGAAGGACAGAGGAAAGTAAGGAGTAACCTTCCTAACAGATTTGGGAATATAAATGGCAGAATAGGAATTAAAAAGGATAGCGAAAAGATAAAGCTTACTATGAACTGCAAAGTACAGGTAGTTGTGGAGAACCATTATCGCCAACATCATGAAGGCACACGGCACATAGAGAAAGAACATCGTAGTTAACATGTGCATTCAGGAACTGGTATAAGGTGAAATGGACAGGACAAAGACTATACTCAGATCAGAAATCAAGTGTCTTTTCATGTCAATTCGACCCATCGAAACTGCATTTGATTCAAGGGGAAATCCCGGAAATGTGTGAATTCGCCGCATACCAGAGGCATTGATACAAGTTCTTCACACAGAATTCTTCCAGGGAACAGTAGCCTTGTTGATTTAATCAACTGGGCCACAAGCTTTGGTTCGTGAATTTAGGTGAATAATAATTGTGCGTTCAATCCCTGGGTCGGACAGTGTGTATTGCCCCGAAGGAAAAAAGAAAAAGCAATAACTGAGTATTATTAAATAAAGAACTAAACGAAATATCCCAAAACATGAACAGCGGAACGAGAACAATTTACCTCTGTAGATTAAATAAAGTGTTCACTTTGAAATTTCCTTTAGGTTACCCGGCCTGACAACACAGCGATCGAAACTTGTGATGATAATAACAAAGGTGTCGAAAATAACCTGCGCGTAAATAAAGTAAATTATGATAATTATTCATCCCAGAAATTCAGACAGAAGGCCTATCAAGTGATAACAATAACAAAGATAGGGACAATATTTTGCATTTAAATAATGTAAATAATGATAACGCATCATCCCAGATAGACATTTATCGCTGTTGTTTTTAAGTATCTGACATTGTAACAACAGAAGATTTGTTAAGCAAAGTAAAATGCTGTAAGAATCTGTCCTTAGTAGATTCAGACATCAGAGCACTTCCTATATATGGTCACCTTAGTAAATCTTAAATTTGAATTTAATGAAAGCAGTGTTTTTTTTAAGTAAAAATTTTGATAAGATTCCCTGCGTTCAATGAATAATGCTTTGAGCATCTTTTGTAAAAAATCTCTTTTTGTCTTATTACTTTTGTCCGACCATGTTCTACTATATAAAGGAACGCTTTAAACAGGATGTTTTCAACATTATCGCTCAGTTACCTAACATTTTAATGTAGGTCTCTAATGAAAAGGCACTTTCTGATTGAAAACAAATATCATTAGAATATTATCCCATTTAATGACCGGCTTTTACACGTTTTCGAGCCCAACCGTCTGCCAGGATTGGTGGCTAAGCAATCCCTATTATAGACGCCTACTCAACCTACAGAGCACACCTATGGTGTATTCTGCAACTATGCTGTGTGGAGCTTACATTTTTTCGGAGAGTGTCCATAAACTGGCGTGATCAATTTCTTGAACAAATTTCTCGGTTATGATGACTTGCATAGACGGTTTTTGAACATTTTCATATATATCCAATTTTACCCACAAAGTTTAAACCAACCCGTGGTATGTTTTTCAGGCACTTTCCAATGGAGCCGTACGCTGAGATAACCTCCCCCAGATAATATCAAGATGTCACTTCGATGAACAAATCGACCACGTCGTTGTGTCTCACAGTCAGAAAGCGCTTACAGCTCGGTCATTCGCCCTTCCATCTCCTTACTTGATTTATATTAAACAACATATATAGTTGTTCCTGAAATCTGGATTTTTCATCTTGTCAGGGTTCGGTATTCAAGACTAGGTTTGAAGCCAGTCTTTTGAAAGCAGACTTTTAAGACAGCCAGGATATTTATACTTGGAAAATTGGTGCAACACCTTCATTTTGCAAAGTCTGTCACTGTGCTCCAAGTTTAGGATATAAAAATGGCAAGTTCCATGCGTAATATCCACTTGTACGATCATATCTCTTTAATTCATGACTGACTAGACACAAGATTTCTTGCAGTAGGCTGTCGGCCATGCGACCCTGTCTGTACTGTTATTCAGCTCGTAGCTGAGATGGAGGAGAAGAAAGAGATTTATACCCTTTTTTAAAGATTTTTTGTGCGTGAGGGAATATAACGCCCCCGACTAGAATTCGAACTCGACTTTCCGATTTCTCATTCCGAGCCGTTATCCTTCATACCACAGCACACACTCTAGCTTAGTACACAGAGTGCGATGGGTAAATTATCGCCATTTTTTATATTTTTTAATTTCGCGCATGAGCATTGTTTGTTTTTGATTTTATCGACTGTATGGTATAGTAAAGTCAATTGGGAACCGTCTGTGATGAAAAAAAGAACACCATGACGCAATGCACTCCGCCAGAAATTTGGAAATGGCAGGCTGTACTGCTTGGCATTCGCGCCGGAATACGAATATTTTCAAGGGTTTGGGCGTCAATCTGAGGACAGTGCAGTGAATTCAGAAAGATTTGAATGAGTCTAATGGTGATTAAGTAAGGTACAGCAGCGCAGAAAACTCACTCTGATCGTTCTGATGTGAAAGGAACTCCCGAATTTTTTGATGAGGTCCTGAGACTTAACATGGAGCCCTACATCTAGTGCCTTGAGGAGATAGTGCTGTCCTGGTTCGAGATGGTGGCTGCTGGAATTCCCTATGTGCGACAACAGGACTCTCCACCAAGCCACACAAGCAGGAGAACCCAGTCAGCTAACTCCAGAGACTGCAATCCGATTGATTATTATGTGTGGGGCACAGTTGAGTGAGAAACTAACAAAAAGTTTTTAAAGACCAAAGATGAACTAATGGCAAGTACGAGGGTCATTCAATAAATAAGGTGAATTTTTCGGTATAAGGACTTTTAATACAGACAGAAGCTTACTTTTTTTTTTTTACTTCATTTTCACATGGATTTAATTTCTTTTGAAGATTAAAAAAAAACTTTGAGGGTTTTGGCGATTAACAAAGATGGTGAATAAGAAGCATGCTCCAGGATTGAACAGCGGTCAGTTATCAAGGTTTTGGTTGCTGAAGGGTGCAAACCAGTTGAAATTCATAGGAGAATGTCAACTGTGTATTGTGCCACATGTTTCAGCCAAAAAAAAAAAATGTCTACAAGTGGGATAAATTGTATAAAGAAGGACGGAGCAGTGTTGAGGATGAAGACAGGCCTGGGAGGCCTACAGAAGTGAGGTCTCCTGAGGTGATCGAATCAGTCAATGACCTCATTCAGTCTGACAGAAGAACTACTGTGAACTGCTGAGGCAGGTCAAGAAAGACATAAAGAACAAAACGCAGGGTCATCAGTCAGAAGGAGTCATCTTGCATAATGACAACGCAAGGCCCCCACAGCAGCCCAAACGGTGCAGACCATCAACGAGCTGGGTTGGGAACTGCTCCCTCATCCCCCTTACAGCCAAGACCTTGCCCTTTAGACTTTCGCCTGTTTGGCCCCTTGAAAGCGTTCACGAGAGGCACGAAGTTTAAAAGTGACGATGAAGTCAAAAGTGTTGTGAGCGACTGGCTGAGACATCAGTCCAAAGAATTTTATGCTGATGGAATACGGAACCTTATAATAGATGGGAAAAAGTGTGACAGTGCTGGGAGATTACATAAAAAAAGTAAGCTTCTATCTGTATTAGAAGTCCTTATACCGAAGAATTCACCTTATCTATTGAATGACCCTCGTATATATAGCAGCATTTACTAACTCAAACAAGGAGACCGTCCTGTGTAATTTTGCTAAATATATCTGTTAAAATAAGATGTCAATGTTATATTTATTTTTGCTTTATTTTAGACGACAATTTATCCATCGTACCTTATATATATATATATATATATATATATATATATATAATTTAGATGACAGTTTATCTATCAAACCCAGTAGATAGATACTATATGAGAGTGAATAGATGAAGATGATTTTATTGTTGTGTTGAGCGTCACTAATCTAGCATTGAGACCTTGTGTGTTAATTAGAATTTTAACATTCATAAATATTGAGGTTAATTGGATTGATTGGTTGATTGAATAATATTTTACGGTTTAACCACCTTTTGCAGATTATATATAATAATAATTTACTGATACAAATTCTACTAATTATTCCATAGCTGAGGGGAGAAGAGGCGGATTCATACCTTTCCCAAAGCTATTTGCGCGTAAGTCGATATAAAGAACCCGACTGAAACTGGAACCTGGATCTCCGATCTCTAAATTCGAGTCGTCATCCATTAAACTACCCGCACACCCAAGCTTACAGCCCCTGGTATTTCAAAGCTGTCACCCAGCTAGGTACTGACCAGGCTCGACGATGCTTAACTTCGGTGATCGTAAAACAACCGGTGTTTCAACCTGACATGGCCGTAAGCCAAGGCGAATTGGGCACAAGAGTGAAAATGAAACGAATATCCTTTTTTATATTAAGATCGATAGAGCATCGCTAGAAACGTGGAATGCGACGTGCTTTGTGTGTGAGTTCAACGTGGGTCCGTGTCATCCGTTTTCTATTGAGGGCATCTCGAGACGTCAATAACATAAAATGTTGAAAGTTCAGTCGTGTGAATTGATTTTAAATCGCGAAGCCAAACGAATTCCTTTGAGCCTTTCTCATTCTGACGCATTTCAACACATTCCTCCACGGAAAGATGCATTCATCACCCGAAATTCAAGAAAGGCTTCCAAGATCTTTATCAAACATGCAGGACCAATATCTTTTCATTCAGCCTTTATAAAATTCGACAACGAATTATAAAATAAAAATCACGTTTTAGAAAAAAAAAAAAAATGAGGCAGTCAGATGTATTAAATATTTGTAAGAGTTTGCCTAAACCTACTTGTAAAATCCGACGGAATCGAAGACGATTTAACAAAAAAATATAAATAAGGAACACATATAAAGATTTTTTTTAATGATGTTCACTTTATACAAGGCCCAAGAGCCATTCTAGATTACGGAGTAAGGAGCACTGTTTAGGAGGATATGTGGGGAATATAACGGTTGATCCTAGACAATGAACAGGTTAAGGTTGTAGTGATCTTGCAAGCATCCTCGTGGGAGTCGGTTGCAGTTGTTTGTATGAAGAAGCTTCTCAAGTGGAAGTTAATCTCACCGATTGTATACGAAGAAGAATTATATTAGTTTGCTACAATATGCGTGACATAACGGATGTTAGCCATGAAGGGTAGAACTGTTGGAATTAATAGAATGTGTTCCGTCTGAACACTTTCCATAGAAGTAGCGTTAGAGCAGCGATAGGCTGGCAACCTTTCGTCTGTGGGAGAGGAGTTGTAAGGTGAAAACATTCGTCATCCACAAACATGTGGAAACGCTTTTGGATTTTATCGAGACTGAAAAAGTTAATACAGGTTCTGCCTGATCTGTTTCTTGTAAACTTAGAGGATACCAGGAGGAGTCAGGTACTTACTGGTGCGGTACAGGGAACTGGCCATTTTCCCAGTATCTTTACCGAGTACAAGTTCCACTTGAGGTTTGGGTTGTGCATAAGTCCCAATAAACTAGGGTTTCTCAACAAAGTGGCGAGGGATTCCTCCCAGGAAGGACTTTCAGTGTTTCAGGAGAGGAGGGTAAAATCTTCTAATTTTTCTTGTTTTTTATTTGGAAGATGCTATTTTACCGGCATTGGTAAAATAGACAAACATTCTTTTAAGCTTATTTTAACAGTCTCGGTAAAATAGACCCCCAGGTTACTTTGCCGGTAAATATTATTATTATGAAGGGCGGTAATGTTAAAAATAACAATAAAGAGATTTAACACAGAAGTTTATTTATTTTCATCAACAATTGTTGAGACAATTTAAAATCTTTTTCACCATCATTTAAAATCATTTATTCATCATCAATTATTAAAAGAGATTACTAGTTACTGAATATTTAAGTCACTTCAGGCGTAATAGTCTCTGTAAATCCGAAACTTGTCCATGAGCATGGTTCTCTTACCTATATAATTCAGGTGCAACCAGAAAAGATAGCAATCACAGACTACAGAATCAATATTGCTCAAACCCTCTTCCTACACATCCACTGCAATGACGATCTCAAATATAATATAATCTTAGTAGTAAAACACTGTTTATATTTATTGTCAAAATAGCATTAATGTCGATTTTACCGGAACCGTAAATATAGCCTATTCGTTATAATTTACAGAATTTGGGACAATCATGAATGTTAATAAAAGACTGTATGATGAATTATATATTCATATAGATACACCCTGACCTTTTATTAAGCATTTTATTCCTTAAATTGCAATACATTGGCATTCAATTGAATTTTTATTTATTGAATTATGTTTCAGTTTAATTATTTATGAACTGAAACAAATCATTGTACGTGTATTCACGTTTAAACTCCATCAACATTTTCTATTGATATTAAAATTGTAAAATCCCTGTATAAAAGTAATTCATATAAATTATGTACAAATATTGAAAAGAATTAATAATCTAAATAATATCTGCATATTATTTGGCATGTCCTTTTTAATTCGTTCGATTTTGGAAAGGAGGAATAACATTTCGAGTGAAAAGGGTACATTGAGTAAAAAAGTTTGAGAGCTATTGCTGTAGGCGTTCAAGTCACTGGATCTCTCGGAAAGAACACCTGTCCATCGTGAGAGGTGAAAATTCAGGGTCCTCCCGATATATCGTTCAGCAAGTGAACATGTGAAAATATCGTATTTTCTTTCTCCATGTAAATCTTGGTTTTCTTTAAATCAAATAAGTAAAAAAAAATAATAAAATATGGACAATTATTTATATTTATTCAATCAAAAATATTTCACAACTTTTCTTGTATTCACGATTCTAATACTATCCAGCAAAAGAATAAGTGATGGTGAATTTTCATTAGAAACACAGAAAATATTGACGAACTTCTTCGATATATCGATCTTCCTGTATTTAAGTGAGTCCTAGACCATTTCCTTACAGATAAAGGGGAGATCTGATGCAATATAAAAAGAGTCTGAGAAAACCATAGACGTAACTAGTCAGTAACGAGGAAGCTTCAAGGAAATTAGGAACGAAAAGCGCATCGAAAATAACGATGAATGCCTTTCAGAAACTAAGTAAAGTATAAAGAGATAGGAACATTTCGTTATAAACAAGGAAAACTATGTTGAATTGCTATGTTTATGATGTAATGAATATGCATACACCTGGGTTTCCCCTCACAGTAATATGATTGGCTGGTGTCAGTTATAAATACAGACTGATGTGGAGGCACAGGGACTACGCCTATTGCCTACCACTACGACGAGGACCAGTCCATTACGGTTACCTGCTAGATTGTCCTACCCGGTTACAGTAGTGAACAACCACTTTGCTACTTCGAACAAATATATCCATTTCCGGAACATAGCAGTTTATCTACTCTCTTGTATGGCAATGAATGCGTGACAATTTCCTTCAAAAAACAAAAAAGAAACCCCAAAAAACAAAAAATACATTCGAAGCAACTGAGATATTATTCTACGGAAGAAGTTGAGAAAATTCCATATGCAGATCATCTGAGTACAGAAAATAAAGACATTTATAATAGAGTCGGGCAGAGACAGTTGAAATTTTGGGGGCGTACGATGAGGAAAGAAGGTGTAAAGAATTAGACCCTCACATGGCATAGTGAAGGAAAAAGGGCAGAAGAAAACTTCAAGTAACATACCTAACGAGATTGTGCGAATGGATTGCAGAGTATGCACCGTGAAGGGTTGTAAAGGGGACAAACGTGGCTAGTCGAGGAAAGGCAGAACAAGAAGCAAACTACCAGTTGGAGGTAATCAGAATGTATAGTCCTTACCAAGAGAAGCAGCCCAAGAAGAAATATGTAGAAAATACGTTTAAGCTCCTTCACTTTTCTGATTATTTTGTATTTAATGCGAAACGGAAAGCTCATCAAATTTATAAGAATACGGGAATGATATAAACAAACAATAAAACTAAATATATTATAATACCTACATAGTCTATCAGAACTACAATTGATCTTTATCAGGTGCTCCATACCGAAAAGAGCACTTCGACATGGTGCAATATTTAAGAAGCTTGTCTTGCCAGATCAATTACGACTGAATAGTGAGTTCGATTCTCACCTGGTGCTCCATACTTTCGGCCTTGCGTCACATACAAGTTACGCTTGGAAAATCATTGGACACTTCGAGGTGGTGAAATAGGGAGCAAGATGGTCTCGCTTGATCAATTCCGAGTGAACAGTGAGTCAGATTGTCACTGGGACTCCACACTTTCGGCCTCGTGCCACATCTAAGGTAAACTCAGAAAGAAAACATCAAAAGATTTGCGTCATTGCGTAGTGTAATTTTTAAGCGCTCTTCTAGTGTCACATACTGAGGTCGTCTCTCCAGGCCAATAGAATCAACTCTTTGACAAATCGACCACAGTGAGAGTCATACCAGTTTCATGGTCAGAAAGCTAATGTTCTTACCTTCACATCTCCATACGAGAAGTATAGATCATAATAAGATTAATAATATAGTGAAGTCCTACAGTCTTTCCGTGTGTACGTGTATAAATTTGGTGTAATTTTCTATAAAAACAACAACAACAAAAAAACAAAAAGAAAAAAAGAACCAAAAAAACAAAACAAAACGAAAATACTTCTGATACACTCTTATATTCTTGCACCTTGACAAAGCACCATATCAATTCTTATATAAATTTCTTCCTATTTAAAGAATCGTTAAATTTATCGACTGAACTGGCAATTTCGTATTAACTGGAGAAGATTTTATCTGCGACCGACATGTTTAAAATTGTAAAAATCTATAGAAAAATGGTAGGGTGCTATAAAACCTCCATTTTCAACTGATTCAACTTTAGTAATGCTATTTTCGCAGCATGAAGGTGGGTGTTATCACGCATCAAAATGTCACTTTTTTAATCTTTTCTCTGAACTAAAATGAATAATTTTAATTTAAGTTTTTACTTCGAGTATGACGAGCTTATTTCAATTGATGTTTCTGCTTCTTATCCGTATCCACTTAGTGTTAAAAAAATATTATATAAAATTCTCTAATATTTTGATCATTTCATAGTATAATGCAGAGATCTTTAATAATTTAATCATTTAGTCAGATTACATTGAAACAAATTAATTGAACTGTTTTCCGTGTGATGTTTTATTTTATTTGAAACGGCTCTAATCATTATATGGGAGATTGCACTTTGCTATATGACAGAGGTGTTTGGATAATTTTCTACCACGGTTTTCAAACCTTTTTCATTGATGAAAGATTTTGGTTGACTATTTTCTTGATTTTGCAAAAGAAATACGACGTTAGAAATTGTTTGAAATTGAAAGAAAAATATTTCTTCAGTATTAAAAAAAAAGA